AAAATCAAATACAGCGCTGTGTGTCTAGAAACATCCATGTGATCCCACTTCCAAAATAGCTGCAAGCGTAAACTTGCGCGTGAGGACGTATACCCAAGCTCCATCCAACACATTTCATCACAAATGACATCATCAGGGACTAAAGGCGTACGTCCGTCACCACACACTTATATAGGAAGATCACGGAGAGAAAACCGGCATTGATTAGTCACACTCACTCAATGGACCTTGTCAACTGGATACGAATAAAACAGCACTCCAATAGGAGGACAGAGACAGTGCTCAAAGATCATAATAAATGATCTGGTCCACATTGCCCCCTATCGGTGATTGAGTATACATAATCAAAACAATGTATATTCAAAACCGTATACTAAAAAACTGGGCTCATAAGCCCGCTAAAGGTGAGCAAAAAAAATGTATAAATCTTTAAAAAAAATATATAGTATAATATGTAGAAGAGCTCATATAAACCACCAAGTGGTGAACAATTTTGCACCATGAAATGTATATAAATCCCTAAAGAAGAAAGGAACAAATGGAGTACTAAAACTATTTTATAAGGAAATTAAATCCCCTATAAGAAATAGCCGGTTGTCTCTACACTAAATCCAACCAAAATTATTAGCAATTATGATAATAAAAATGTGAAAATGTACAAAATAATACATATAAATTAAAACTCAATTATTGGTAATAAAACCATTATCTCAATCAATGTTTAAACCATACGATACATAAGCCACTTGACCTCAGAACGTGATAATTCATTCTTAGCATTGCCACCCCTCCAATGAGAAATAAATTTATTTATGGCAAAAAAGGCAGTTCCCTCTGGATTTTTATCATGGAAAATTGCATAATGTCATGGAACACTGTCCCACTTAAATCCCTTCTTAATATTCGGAATGTGTTCATTAAGACTGGTATGCAATTCCCTAGTGGTACATATTGCATCCCACAAGGACAAGCTAGCATATAAACTACATTCTTTGAATGACAAATAATAAGAGTAAATGTCATGAGTCCTCGAAGTTTGGGCTGAATGAAAATTCAAAATTTTTTTGTTTTGTCCTTTTAACACATTAATTTTATTTGGATCTAGTGTAGAGACGACCGGCTGTTTCTTATAGGGGATGTAATTTCCTTATAAGATTGTTTTAGTTATCCATTTGTCCCTTTTTTCTTCTTTAGGGATTTATATACATTTTATGGATCAAAATTGTTCACCACTAGGTGGTTATATGAGCTCTTCTATAAAATTTTTCCAATTTTCTTTGGAATTCAGACTCACTTTTATGTTTCCCTTTTATATTATTTTTTGTATTGAAAGCAATGTTACATCTAGCTTCACGAATGTTCAGCTAGGATTGAAATATTATTGTTGATTTATACTTTTCGCACTTCACTTTTATTTGTATACTATATCTACTATAATAATCATATTAAAATAAATATACTTCATAAACCATATTAAAATAGCCTATAGTGGCCATTTTTAAAATGGGTCATAAAAGAAAATAACTGGAAAATTAATGGGTCTAAACTATAAAATATTTTAGGTTAAAATTGATTTACATTTAAAATGATCAGGTATTCAATGCAATAAGACCCTTCCCCCAGAATGACATTACCCCTGAGAATTTGATAAGAAACAGTTCAAGTCCAACTCCATGTTAAAGCCCAACTCCAGGCAGTGCCCACATGATCATTCCTTCCTCCCCATTGCTAGACCAGTCGCCACAGCGTGTTCTGTCAGTCTAGTGTCCTGACATCATCAAAACCAAAGCAGGGTCAAGAGCCCTGCATTGGATGTGTTGATATCGGAGGACAGTCCACCACCAGAGTGCTGGGGGGAGCAGAAGATCAATGCAAAAGAAAAACAATTGCTTCAGTGTTCATCCCAAAGTCTTTTTGCAAAACAAATATTCAGAATTTGGGTACCAATTCACAAAAAGAACATTGGGGAACTTGAGAGTACAGAGAAGGGCAACCAAACTGATAAGCGGCATGGAGGAGTTCAGCTATGAGGAAAGATTAGAGGAACTGAATTTATTCTCTCTTGAGAAGAGGAGATTAAGGGGGATATGATCAACATGTATAAATACATCAGTGGTTCATATAGTGAACTTGGTGTAGAGTTATTCACCCTGAGGTCATCACAGAGGACAAGGGGGCACTCTTTATGTCTGGAGGAAAAGAAATTTAATCTCCAAACACGGAAATGTTTCTTCACAGTGAGAAAATGTGGAATAGACTCCCGCAAGAGTTGGTTCTGGCCAGCTCAGTAGATTGCTTTAAAAAAGGCCTGGATTTTTTCTTGGACACACAGAATATAACTGGATACTAACATTTTATAGGAAAGTTAATCCAGGGAATATCCGATTGCCTCTCGGGGGATAAGAAAGGAAATTTTTTTTTCCCCTGCATGAGCAATTTCGATCATGCTCTGCTGGGGTTTTTTTGGCCTTCCTCTGGATCAACTGTGGGTGTAGGATCATAACTTTTTTAAATGGTTAAACTGGATGAACTTTTGTCTTTCAGCCAGAATAACTATGTAATACAAATCTATTTTGCTGCTTTGTGCCCCCAATTCATCTTTAGATAAAGCTGGTATGTCAGCTCAACTTTAGATTTCTGATCTTATTCAGAAGGTGACTACTTTGGAGATTCAGGGGATAATTAAAAGGCATATAGTGATTATATGTAGAGTGACTATGCCTAGGTTGCAGGGACAAACATCACTGAATTTCCCCATCAACACTCAGTGCCAATGGGGAAATTCTCCCACAGCTCTGTTGTGTTCTGCCAGCAGAAAACAATGATCACTGCTGGTTGGCTATAGTCACTCAAAACTTGTAATCACTTGCAAGATACCTAAAAGGCTGGTTGTACTGGATCGACTTCAGTGCTGCCAGCCTGCCCATAGATGGATTGAATCTTAGCCGGTTTAAGAATCAGGCTGAAATTTGATCCATCTATGGATCTATAGCCGGCTTAAGACTTTGCTTTGAAGAGATGGAAGAACAGCGAAGGCCCGTTCTAAGCCACTTTAAGGAGGTAGAACCAGTCTTTAAATAAGACACTTAAACATGATTTAAAAAACTTCCTCCATAAGGTTTTTTTTAACATCCAAAGCTGGCCATACATTAGTAGATGTTTGTATAAGAGTTCTTTGTACATTTGATGACTGGACGAATGTCATCCAAAAATACTTCAAATTTTGTTTGCTTCAAACAGTCGATTTTGTTAAGAATTTTTAATTTCCCAAATAAAAACCACATACAATGCTAGAAATGCGTTCGCTTGAGAAAAGTTCCCATCCTGCTCCTTTTGAATTTTTTTCATCAAAAATGTAAAACTTCAAAAGGAATGTCAGTTTGACCTCACTAACCATTAGAAAATGAAATTAATAATCTTAAAACAGAAAATTTTGAACAAAACTCTACTAGTATATAGCCAGGGTAAATTGCACACAGGTTTCTCAAGGCTGCGGATTAAGGGGCTTCAAAGAGTTTTGGGAAGAATGAAACCTGTACTGCTGTGTCCAGGTCTTACTGGAGATCAGCAGGCTGTGTGTGTGCAGGTGTGCACGGCCTTTATTATCAATGGGCTTTCTGCAGTTCAGGGCTCCGCCCAGAGGCCGGAATGTGGGCCAGAGCAGCAGGTAGCTGTAAGAGGTATAGAGTTGTATGTGAGAACAGCATTGCATATGTTGGCTGCATTATTTTTTCTTTTTTAGGCTTTAATTTCACCTGGCCAGTAAGTCTGCTGTTTTTCAAAAGAACATGTTCTCCTGCAAACGTTGAGTGTTGAGACAAACCATTTACCACTGACAGGGGTGCGTACAAAGATCAGATTTTATTTATTCATGTAAAACCTTTACCCCAATAATATAAAAACTATTGCTGTAAATGTTTGTGTTAGCTTTAGTTTGGCTTCAATCTGTTCGTGTCTCTAAATCTGCTAGAACAGAACTCCATCCGTGACTGGAAGTTCCGCTTTAAGGCTTCCTTCCCCCTCTTCCACTTTTGACAATCCTTCTTTTTTTTTTTTTTTTTTTTGCGGTGAGCAGGTACCTGGATTTGATAGGTACCCACTCCCACTTCCACTTCCACTCAGATCACCTAGGCGATCTGAGTGGACGTTCTCTGTCACCGTCCCCATAGTCTTCTGGGAAATGGCAAATGTCCCTGAAGACTGCGATGATAATCACAATGCACAGTACGGCTCGTGAATGCGCAGTGGGCACCTGGCTTTGAGGTCACAAGCTGTCACCGCCAGGTGCCCACAGTTAAGATGCCAGGGAGCGAGGATGGCTGGTGAAAGGGGCTGCAGTGAGGACACCGCTGGATCAAGTGTCTGTTTTTTTTTTGTTTTTTTTGTTTTTTTTCTTTTTAAATTTTTGACTGGACCTTCGCTTTTAAACAATTCAATAAACCATTTGGTGGCAGTGTTTCACCAAGAATAAATTCAATGTGGCCTGTACTTGTTTATGTAATCTATCATAGTCAAAATGCAATAAGACTTCATTTACACAGCAGTAAAAAATGGCAATTTACAAGTGTTCTCCCGGCGCCCCCATAGGTGAGCACACTGATGGATCGGAGGACAGGTAAGTGTATGTTTATTAAAAATTTGCAGCCAAAGTTTTTGTAGCTGCTGACTTTTTTAATTTTTACAAAAACGACTAGAGCTCTGCTTTAATCACTTGTCTACTGAGCACTTATACCCCCTTCCTGCCCACTGTCGCACTTTGACAATTGCGCGGTCATGCAACACTGTACCCACATGACATTTTTATCATTTTTTTGAGACAGAGCTTTCTTTTGGTGGTATTTAATCACCTCTGGGTTTTTTATTTTTTGCTAAACATTCCAAAAACAACTGAAAATTAAAAAAAAAAAAACAAAAAAAACAACGTTTTTTTCTAAGTTTTTGTTATAACATTTTGTAAATAAGTGATTTTTCTCCTTCACTGATGTGTGCTAATGAGGCTGCACTGATGAGGCACTGGTAGGTGGCACTGATGGGCATTGACAGGCATCATTGATGGGCACTGAAAGGCAGCACTCATATATGGCACTGATAGGTGGCACTGATATGTGACACTGACTGGCACTGATAGGTGGCACTGACTGGCACTGATAGGTGGCACTGACTGGCACTGATAGGCGGCACTGACTGGCACTGATTGGTGACTCTGAAAGGCGGCTCAGATGGGCACTGATATGTGGCATTGATGTGCACTGGTAGGCACTGATATGTGGCATTGATGAGGCACTGATGGGCACTAGCAGCTGGCATTGATGAGCACTGACAGCTGGCATTGTTGGACACTGACAGGTGGCACTGCTGGGGCTACACTGATCATCAGGGCATTTTCCTATTTACATGTGATCAGCTGTGATTGGACACAGCTGATCACATGACCGAGCCGACATCTTCGGCACGCGCGGTTAGAGTGGGAGGACGTCATATGATGTCCTCCCAGAACGAGAGAACCGCCTTGCGCCGTCATTTCCTTATATGGCGGGCGGGAGGCGGTTAATCATCTCCTCTCCCAGGCTGACAATGCTTCTGTTCAAAGGTTCCTCTTCTCCTTTTCTCCTTCATCCAGAATGGAGGCACTCTGAGTGCCAGTTCACATATATGCAGATTGGATGCGGTTTGAACCCCATCTAATGCACATGACATGTGAAATAACATTGCTTCCTATGGTGCCTGTTCACATGCGTCCAGTGCACTGACAGAAAAGAATCCTGTATGATTTCTGAGCAGTGTGGTCCGGTTCAGGTGTGGATTACAGGCTGTTGACTTCAATGGGAACCGCTTCTAAATCACATGTCATCAGTTGGGAACAGTATTGCAGTTCAGGATCAGGTTTTAGCACAGTTCGCTTTCCCCCCCACCCCCCTCCATCTCAGCAAAAACAAAATAGCCTTGAATAACGCATCCAAACCAGCTCTGAACCTGTGTACAGTACAATCCGCCGTTGTGTCACAAGAACTGGCCGTGAACTGCTGAACAAGTAGATAGCAATCCACATCTAAGGATTGGTGGGCTGCAAAATAATACATTTTTTGTTTTGGATTTAATACTATTTTAAGGTTGTTTTTCTTTTGGTGTTCTGAAGTGAAGGCCTCATGCACACTGGGCATTTTTGACGCTACTACTAGGGGTGTGAGACTTTCTTCTTTTCTTTTTTTTTTACTGTCTCTAAACTCCCCTGTATGTTATCCTATGTGTCCATGCACATACAGGCTTTTTGTGGCAGGAGAGTGGTGGCAGAATAAAAACCCATTGCCAAGGCGTCTTAGAGCAGCGGTGTTTTGGCTAAATAAACTTGTGATGTGCTTAAACGCCTGTAAACATGCCTAAATGCTAGGAGTGTTTAGTGCTTGAGCGTTAATTTTTTCTTTTCTTTTTTTTTTTATGACAGATAAATTATTATTTCTGAATAGAATGAAAAGAATTTACACCCAAAAGCTTGATGCCTGCAAAGGCGCCTAAATGCTTGTAAAAGTGTTAGGCACTTTTACAAGTGTCAGGTGTGCATGGGGCCTTACTTTCATTCCTAACTAAAAGTGGGCCAACAAGCCTTATATCAGGATTTCTTGGCTGGACCAAACTTATTGAGTGAACCTTAGATTAACTATACATTTTATTTTTTCTCTCCTCTTCGTGATGGTTCATTTTTTTTGGGGAAACTTTGTTGATCATTTGAAACCAGTGACATTAGGAGATTATGGTTATAATTATGTAAAATACCAGCTTAAAATGCTGGTTAGCACAGATTCTAAACCTTTTAATGTATGGTAGCTTAGTTTCAGAAATGATCTTTCTCACAGTGTCTTGTATCTCTGAATGGCCAGCCAAAACATGAAAACTGAGCACTCTAATACAGATCAGCTTCTGTGCTTTGTGTGGTCAGCTTAAAACAAGGAAAAAATGTTATGTATATAAATTGCCCCGCTAAACAAAGTGACAAAAATTAAATAATAAAGCATATAACAGAAAAAGCAAGAATAAATTGAAGACTTTCAGTGATGTCCAAATCTAAACATAGGAAACTCAATGTAATAGTCCTAGTGATACTGTGCGGCTTAATAAAGAACTCCCTGTGTGTCCACACGTCTCCAGATACCAGAGTGCACACCAGCAAAAATATAGAAGACTCTTACAAGAACATGTGTATTCTTTTTTAGTAAAAGCAAGAGAGTCAGAAAGGTGTGAGAGTAAAGCGTCTCTATTGGATTTCTTATCTCCACCACATATCCATATATGGTCATCAAGGGTAAATACCAAGTTTCAAACCACCTCCACAGCTCTCCTCATACTCAATAAGATTCCACATCCAACAATAGAAGGTAACCGTTCATGACATTAAGAGAAGCAAGGAACCTCACACAGAGTAAAACTGTAAATGCATGTTTATTATAAAAGGTAATATGCCCACTCACTCACCAACAGAATATAAAAGTGCTTGTAAATCTAAAAAAAATACCAGTCCCGGGAGCCAATGTGTGGTAATTCCTTGGAGTAAATAGCGTGATGACGTCACAAGCGTAAGCTCTTCCCTACGTGTTTTGTCACAAATTGCGTTGTTGAGGGCATGGAGGGGAAAAATATGGTGACTGTCAGGTTCAACCAGGTACTTCAGAAGGAATAAATACATGAAAAGGATAGAGACTATGATTTATAAAAGGTACATATATGAACACACACATAGAAAAAACATTTATGGTAACATACACCTCTTAACGTAGAACTAAAGCAAAACTATTTTTTTTTTTTTGGATAGTGTAAGGGAGGGTTATAATTCTTGTCAATTTTTTTTTTTCTTTTTTTGCCGTCTGTGTCTCATTGGGTAGATTTCCCTTCACTTCCTGGCCTATAACCAAAACCAAACGTAAGAGGAAATCCCTACTTAACTGGGCCTTAACCTAATCTCACCCCATTCTAAGACTATTTTATCTACCCTGTAAAAGAAAAAATGTCTATACTTATTTATTCCAAAGACTCAGTTCCATGATCTGGTCCCAGCGGCGGCTTCAGTGTAGAGGATGGACAGCTGATAATGGATGCCCCATAGTAAGCCTATGGGTGATGTCATCGCCCAGGCTCTGCAGTTGTCACTGCCTCTCCTCTACACCGAAGCTGCAGCTGGGACCCGATCATGTGACTGGACCAAAGCGGCTTCATAATAGGCAAGGTTAGGCATCTTTTCTTTTACAGGGTAGCTAGAATAGTCATAGAATGGGGGTAGGAGTGTGTTCTGGCTTGTTTAGAATTTGACTGGAATGTCACTTTAAAGGATAAGTTCACTTTTTGTAGAAAAAAATAAATTGAAACATTCACATGATTCTGCAGCTAAAAAAAATGTGAATTTTATCTTTTTTTTTTACACTTCAGCCTATAAAGCATTGCCCCTGTGATCAGCGAATCGTGGGTGCAGTGCTAGGATCCTGCAGACTGTCAGTCAGCTGTCTGTCTGTACCTCACATACAGTCAGGCAGTTATCGAAGTCCAGGAATAATCAACAAACTTTAAGAGTGCTCACCAGCACCCTCACTGTTCATTGGGAACCATGTGCCATCTGCTGCAATAGCAGGGGGTACTTCTAAGTTATTCGTTCACAGATCTCTGTTTTCAAATTCTGACTGTGGATGCGGGTAGAGGATCCCCCACCTGCTGTCACAATGGGGGATTGAGGAAAATGTGGTTGTAACATGTTAAAAAGGTGAACTTATCCTTAACCATTTCCCTCCCGGCCTATGGCCGGATGGCGCCTGCAGAGCCGCGCAGCGGCACGATCTGTCACCCGCGGACACGGCCGATGACAGATCTGAGTACCGTCCCCCTTGCCGGTACCAAGTGACCTGCTGTGACCGATCACAGCGGTCACATGACAGTTGTATACAATGGATGGCTTCATTCATGCCATCCATTGTATACTAGTGTGCCTAGCTGTGAATGGTCACAGCGATCACATGCACAAGCTGGGCCAATCACAGCCCAGCTGTGTCATGTGATTTAGCCGTGGCCAAATCACAGCTAAGCACAAAAAAAAAGCCCTGAATGAATCAATGTCATTCAGGTAAATGCTTGCTTATAGCAAAGTAATTCTTTGCTATAAGCACATTGTGTAAAAAAAAAAAAAAAAAAAAAAAAAAAAAAAAAAAATACTGATCACTTCCCCAAAGTAGTACAATGTTACTATGGTAACATTGTACTACTTTTGTCATAGTGACATATGAAAAAAAAATTTAATTAAAAATAATAAAAAAAATTAACTTTTTTTTTTTTCATGCTGTCACCAGTCAGTGTCCCTGATCACTGCCATGCCAGTTATATGATGACGCTGTACTGCACTGGTGACCGTATGTGAAAAAAAAAAAGTGAAATTCTTTTTAATATTTTCATTTTCTGAAAAATTCTGACAGAAAAAATACAACTTAAAAAAACTCGCCATTCCTCTTATGAAGTATGTCGGACTGTCTACTTTGCAAAAAGGGGTCATTTGGGGGATATCTGTACTGTTCTGACATTCTTGGACCTCAAGAAATTAGATTGGCTGTCAGTACTTTAGGATTGATCAATTTTCAGATCTGTACCATAGTTTGTGAACTCTAACTTTCCTACAAACTAAAAAATACATCCTAATTTGGGTTATTTTCACCAAAGACATGTAGCAGAATACATCTCAGCCTAAATTTATGAAGAACAATTATTTATTTGCAAACTTTTATAACAGAAACAAAGAAAAATGTGTTGTTTCGGTCTTTTTTTGTTTAGCAAAAAATAAAAACCCCAGTGGTGATTAAATACCACCAAAAGAAAGCTCTAGTTGTGTGAAGAAAATGATAAAATTTTAGTTTGGGTACAATGTTGTATGACCGCGCAATTGTCATTCAAAGTGTGAGAGCGCTGAGACCTGAAAAATGGCCTGGGCAGGAAGGGGGTAAAAGTCCCTGGTATGGAAATGGTTACCGTGATGGTTAATGAAGGGAAATCTCTCTAAAGGAGCCCTAGATGGCAGTGAAAATATGACAGGGGTTCCAATACACTCCACTTTAAATATTTTTTTTTTAAAGTAGCCAGAGGTCCTTTTGGTACTTGCTGCTCAGCCCTCTACAGATCCCTGAAGTTGGTTTCAGGAGCATTCATTTGTAAAGAATCTGTAATGTTGGTGATCTCTAGCTCACATCTAATGTGTCCCCAGTCTCAGTATCCTCAGTCTCACATCTGTTGCGTAGCCGCTGACCATCTGCTTTCTGACTATCTTCTGTCGCACTGAATTTTATGTCCAGCTCTTTGGAGCTATCGGGCTACAGTTGACGCCTCCTATACCTCATGAGTTTATAACGAATGGGGATGTATAGATAAAGTACAGCCGTAGCTGTAACGTCTGTTTTTACGCTCCTATTTTGCGTATATAAAGTACTTTTAT